GAGAGAGAGAGAGAAAGTACCTGTAAAGTACCTGTAAAGAACTTTCTGTATCACTAGCGGCGCACAACCGTTCGGAGTTTAGTCGCGAAACTCGAAGAGCACTCGACTTGGTCAAGTAGTACTTTATGAGAAAAGTACGCGAGTTTGCTCGGTGGCGTCCACCACCGTCGGAACTTGATGGTAGGGCGATCGGGCACTACTCGTTTTTGAACATCGCAAAGTAGTAAGTACATGCCAATGTGAATGAAAGCGAAAGAAGTTTTAATCGTCTACAAGCGAGTAGACTGTGAATAACGAAATCAAAGGTATTCCAGATCCTTCGACTTTAATGACAGGTTGCTTGACGAATTTGAGAGAACTTGACTTCTTGTTTTATGTAAAATACATTTAACGTAAAATAGTCGCGACAGAGAGAGAGAGAGAGAGAGAGAGAGAGAGAGAGAGGGAGAGAGAGAGAAAGAGAGAGACTAGCAAAGCTTTTGAAGGATACGTCGCATTGTTTTCACGTCGCATTGTCCCTGTTGTGTCTCAAAATGTATCAAAGAAGCGTAAGTGTATGATGTAACGACGCGCAACCCCATCGTTTTTTCCTTCTCCTTCGAATTCCGATATCTCTTGCACGTCGTGGATATAAGCGCGCTTGCGCGTTTACATTCGCGACGACGTTTTCTGCTCATCGGTTGCTGAAACGTGAACCCAATTTGTGATTCGGCCTAAGCCAGGATTTTTCCTGGCTACAGCTCGAAATATCGGAGGTACATATAAAGATTGCACGAATGAAAAGTCTACGTGAGGGACGAAGCACGACTGTCATTCGGAAAGCAAGAGTTACATTTATATTCATCCGATAAACCCATTAGATCAAAATATCTTTGTCTATCGCGTATAAATTTTTAAATAATCTCTCTTAGATTTTGGAATATAAGGAAAAGTCAATGTTAAAGGTATAATGTCACATTTTCATCGATATTAATTTGTTAAAGTAATAAAAACAGTCAGTATTTCAACAAAACATAAAAATATAATTTGCAAGTCATAAATTCAATAATTAATTATTGGTATTCTTAAAAATAATATAAGCTTAAAAATAACAACGACAAATATTATCTCGAGGATAAGGGAAGTAGATATGTAAAAACTTTTCATCCCACTTGCAATTCGCGTCATCGACAGTTCTCGTTCACGTATATCGATGTGTCTCGTACTAAACGGATACCAACGTTTGAATGCCTCGCATTATCGGCTTTCGTGATAGATTTACTAAGAAAATCCCGAGAAACTGCATCGCGGTGCGAGACAAGGATGCGGCGTATGTACGCGACGAGAACGGAACGAGGGCCAGGATTCCAAAGTCGACGTGAGGGTGGGTAGTCACGTCGACGTGAAAGATCGTAATTGCGAATTCGTTGACCCACGACTCGAGTGAGCTTTTCCACGGCGTCGCGACGGTGGTGGCACGGAGTCGACGGGAACGAGAAAGAAACGGCGAGAAACGAACGGCGGGAGATTGTGGACGATGACGACACAGCGGTGATGTGTAGGTGGGGCATGCACAGAAGGTAACCAAAGGGGAGATAAAAGCGGACGAGGATAGACCGAATGGGGATGTAGCTGACGCGAGAGAGTAGTTGTAGAGAGAACCGCGGGGGATCAGAAGATAGGGTACGGAGAGTTCTGTCTCACTGGGGGGGGGGGGCGGGCGCGGAGGGGGTGGCGGAAGGTGGAGGAGGTGGAGGAAGACGTGGGCAAACAGACTTTTGCGATCGTTTATTTTCCTGGCAATTATATCCTTCCGTGAAAAGAGCCTGAGCCCTTTTCACTCCGTATTTATTTCTGTCGTGAATGCGTCGCGAGTCGTCGAGCCTACTGACGGTTCTTAAATGGGTATCTACCGAGGGGAGAGAAAAGCTAAAGGCTTTCACGGTATTATGGGGATCTCGGTTTAGTGAACCTGTTTCATTCGGCTACTCTATTGGCGCGTTTAA